CAATTGTTCAGTATTGTTAAGGTGTTGACTGATATCTTGGTCTGATTAGCTAGAAGCAAATAACTGAGAATTATGGAAAATTGCTTTTGATATTTAAATATTCTGAATGTATGTTTTTTTCTTTTTTCGTATTATTATTCCTTTTATGTGCAAGGATTTGTACTGTACATGTGTTTTTAAACTCATACGTATAGATTTAAATAGAAAATTTAAAATAAGTAAATAAATAAAATAAAGAAATAATTAAAAAAAAGTTATGTTGGACAAACTACCTGCAATTAATTTTATATCTATTAATGTAAGAGGATTACGAGACAGTCTTAAACAAAGGAAAATGTTCATATGGTGTCACCAACAAAAAGATATTATACTTATGCAGGAAATCCACCTAACAAATGATATATTAAAACAATTAAAGATTATTTGGGATGGAGATGCATATCATTCTTTTGCAAATAATTTCATAGAGGAGTTAGCATTGTTTGAAAAAAAAGAGTTAAATATAATTTACTGGATAAACATATTGATAATGAAGGTCGGCGGATTCTTTTGAATCTAGATATCAATAACAACATAATTACTTTAGTAAACATATATGCTCCAAATAGCTGTGCAGATAGAAAGCATTTCTTCGATACGACGAAGAAATGGATAGAAGAAAAGGCATATAATAGAAATGCTGTCATCATTGGTGGAGACTTTAATACTATAATCAATCCGTGTTTAGACCAAAAAAGTAGCAAAATACTGGATGACCGATCCTCGCATAATTTATTACGATTAATAAGTAATTTAAAGTTAACAGACATCTGGAGAAATTAAATGAGAGCAAACTTCATTTTAAATTGCGTAGAGCTAAACCCCATGTATATAGATGACTTGATATGTGGCTAATTTTCCACACTAATTTCTTGTTTCTGGTTATATATGCTATGCAGACATAAGATCCGCGGTACAAATTGATCATATGGCTATCACTTTTAAACTGAAAACACACGAAACAAAAAAGGGACCTGGAGTCTGGAAAATGAATATTGAACACCTTAAAGATAAGTGTTTTAGAGAAGGGATAATAAGGTTAATTGAAAATCAATACCGGAATTATAACAATGTAGAATCTAGACGTTTATTATGGGACTGGACCAAAAATCAAATATTTTTCTATATAAAGTATGGAAAGAAAAAAGCCAAGCAAAATAATAATAAAATTAAAATAATGGAAAACGAGATCGAAGAACTAACCAAAAAAAATATTGGACAGTAACAATGAGACAGAAGAACGTAAAATTATTAATGAAATTAATGAAATTAATGAAATAACAGCAAATATAGATGTAACTGCTCTTGGGCTCGGAGCAAGTTTGGTGTATAGAGGGCGTCTTTGGTCAAATCACACAAACGCGAACAACAAGGCAACAATACGACCATCAGTTAAACAATCTCAAATTTATTTTGTTCCAACCGTGTCTGTCTGGGCGAATTCAAAGCAACATGTCAATCTTATTAAATTCTTAATTACCAAATAAAATCAGATCATAACGAATCCTAATATAGTTAATTATAATCTTTAACTCACCAGTAAACATCTGCTACTGAAAACCAGGTATAAAATGAAGCATTTACGCTCACAAATTTGGTATTCTAACCATCAATATAATACGCGTGCATCACCAACTGATGCCAGCTTCGCTCTGCCGACGCGATGTCAAAGCTCGCTCTACCTCACAAATACAAAGATAACGCTGGGGGCGCGCTGCGTAGGAAAGATCTAACAATAGATATGTATTACACAAATAATGCAATAGGGGCTCAAATTAGATCTGGAGAAAAATGGTGTGAACAGGGAGAGAAAAATACTAAGTACTTTCTCGGATTAGAAAAGTCCAGAGCTATTAAAAAGGAAATAAAAATAATTAAAAAGGAAGATGGAACCATAATAAGCAACACATCAGATGTGCTAAAAAAAAAAAGAGGTTAACCTTTATAAAAAATTGTATCAAAATAAATTGAAAGTAAATAAATAAATAATTATCTGAAACAATTACCAGTTACGGAGCTCACAAAACAGCAAAGTGAGACATGTGATGGCCAGGTAACTAATGATGAATGCAAAAATATACTATTCAAAATTAAATTAAACAAATCTCCAGGGCCTGATGGCATACCGGTAGAATTTTATCGGGAATTTTGGCCAGTAATTGGAGAAACATTATGTCAAGTATTTAATGAAAGTTTTTGCAATGGAGAGCTGTCTGAATCCCCAAAAATGAGGAATATTACATTAATTTATAAAAAAGGAGAAAAAGAATTGCTAAAGAACTGAAGACCAATTAGTCTCCTAAATATTGACTACAAGATTGCTTCAAGTGTACTACCAAACAGAATTAAGCATGTCCTGGGGACAATTATTAGCACAGATCAAAAAGGGTATATTCATAAAAGATATATTGGGGAAAATATAAGGCTCATTGAAGATGTCATTACCTTTGCAAAAAAGAAAAAATTAATGGGGCATTTGTGTAGACTTTGAAAAAGCTTTTGATTCTGTTAACAGAGATTTCTTGTATAAAAAAAAAAGAAATTCAATTTCGGTGATGAATTTATCAAATGGATTAAACTATTATATTCAGGTGCGAAGAGTTGCATTATAAATATAGGATATTTTTCAGAATACTTCAATTTAGAGTGTGGCATCCGGCAAGGTTGCCTAGTATCAGCTCAGCTATTTACATTAGTGGTAGAAATGTTGGCTACACATATAAGAAATGATATTGATTTAAATGGAATTGCACTTCCGGGGGTTAAAAACAGAAAAAAAAGTCAACTAGCGGATGATCTCTGTTTTTAAAAAACAATGATAGTATTGTTAAAGCAATTGAGATACAGTAATTGAAAAATTCTCAAATGTTAGTGGAATAAAATTGAATAAAGAAAAAAGTAAATAAATTATAAACCTTGCTAAATAGATGGAAAAAGAGAAATCTCACTTTATTAGGCAAAATAATCATTGTAAAATCATTAGGTCTAAATAATTGGTATATAATGCAAGTGTTATAGATGTTCCAGAAAAAGTTTTTAAAATCATTAACGGAATTGTGTTCAAATTCATTTGGAATGATTCCACAGAAAAGGTTAAACGTAAAACGCTAATTGGAAATACAAATGATGGTGGGTTGAAAGCACCTGATTTCTACACTCAATGTCTTGCACTCAAATTTCAATGGATAAAAAGGTTGGTATGTGGCGAAGATGGGTTATGGAAAGATATTCCAAAGTATTATATGCAGAAATTTGCACCCCTGAAAGTCCTTATACATATTAGTTGCCTGCAAATAAATGATAATATACATCTTAAAAATATTCCAAAATTTTATGTTGGTGTGCTTAAATCAATTGTACTAGAAAATAAAACCAACATTTCACAACTTGGAAATTTAGATGTTAATGAAATAAAGAAACAACTGCTATGGGGAAATGATGCCATTAGATTTAAGAACAAACCTTTGTTTTTTAGTGAGTGGATTAATTCCAATATAATTTATGTGGGTGATATATGTGAAGGTAATAGATTAAAATCACCAACTATGTTAAAAGCAGTTCTTATAAATCAAAGAAACTGGATTATAAAGGTAAAACAGGTTTTACATGCAATACCAAAACCATGGATAGAGCAAATATATAGTAAGATAAACAAGAAGCCTTCAATTATAAACGAAAACAATGAGTTGTTAAAGGTTAATTCAATAACATATTATACTAAACAAATACAAAAAATATTTTGTGAACCAACTTCCCAGAAGCAATGGGGGAATATCTTTCAAGGTAAACATTTTGACTGGGATTTAATATGGAGTAATAAGAATAAAAGAAACAGAATAAAAGAAACAAGACTAGCAGAGATATATTTTAAGTTATTACATAGAATCTTACCAAATAATAAGAGGTTGGTTGTATGGAACATAAAACAAGACCATAATTTATGTAAAAAAGTGGAAAATGAAAAGCATATGTTTTATGAGTGTCAAAGATTTAAAGGTTATTGGGATTGTGTAGTTAGCATAATTAACAAACTGGAAAAACAGAATGTAAAAATACTTTCGTATATTGATATTATATTTGGAGTTAAGAATGTGAAAAGCAATGAATTAATTACATTACCTTGTTATGTAATTTACAAATCATGGTTAAAAGCAGAATGAAAAATAAAAAATGAGAATTTAAACAGGATGTTTATTGCTGAGCTAAAATTAGGGTGCAAACTATAGTCTAAATTAAAGAAAATGTAATGATGTGAATTGAAAAAAAAAAACACAACCTAAAATTGTTAAATGACAGTTAATTATTTGTACAAAATTAAGATGGAAATGAAAAGGTGTAGAACTGAGATTAATTTATTATGTAATTGATATTTAAGCAAATGTTTATGATTTAATTTACACACTAAAAAGCAGAAAAAATGTTAAATCAAACAGGATGTTCATTGCTGAACTAAAATTAAGGTCTAATCTAAAGGAAATGTAATGATGAGAATTGGGGGAAAAAAGAAAAAACTAAAAAGTGTTAAATGAAAATAAATTATTTGTAAAAAATAAGATGAAAATGAAAATATGTAGGAAAACAAAGATTAATTTATTATGTTCTTATATTGATTTTATGTACATTTTTATGGTGCAATAATGAGAATAAGGTGGCTTTGCCAGAAAGAGAAGAAAAAAAAAGTAGCCTACTACACGCAATATGTATACACGAGATCACACACACACAAGACAAGCGATCATTTTTTCCACACTAACCGCCTGGGGTGCCTAGCCACATTATTTACCAGGAATACAGGTGCTTTTTGGAGAGGAAGTTTGCGAATGGGGACTTCACCACTTGGCATATACCCCATGATTAAAAATGAAGTCACGAGACCAAGAAACCAGATGAAAATCTCCACCTTGAAGAATATTGTTGGTAGACCCCGACTAATCAATAAAATAAAATAATTAAATCACAATTCAGAGTCGGTTGCCTTTTGCAAGCTGCTTGTCTACTGCCTTTTTGCCTCCGCAAAGTGCAGTGATATCTTCCATACTGAGAGCATTTGGTTCTAATTTACCCAGTTCAACTGAACGACATTCCATTTATTCACTAATCAAAATTGTTGTCCTTTCTTAAGAAAAAAAAAATTATAAACGTTCTTGTAGACTTCACAACAGTAAACGGAGACCCTCCCTTCACATTCCTAGATGGAATATATTACTTTCCTGTAAGTACTTCATTGTGGGTCAAGTTCAAACTCATCAATACTATGCACCCATAGTTCGAGTCTCTATAATGTCATAATGTTTCTGAAGTCAAACATTGATGTGCATGTTACTTTTATGGATGCTTCTTCTCAGACCTTATCAGATGTTTGCTAATTATCAAGCTAATGAGTGATTCGTAAAACAACAAAAAGATACAGCATACTGTATTTAGGCCTATGTAGTGACGACTGGATAACATTAAGTTACACGTGTATTTGATATTTTTTTTATTGTTTAAATTAAATATGTCGCGTTAATTAATTGTTTTAAAATGCTTAAATTGAATACGATTTTAATACCGGTAAGCATTCTTGATGACTTTCAAATATTTTTTTGAAAAAAAAAATACAAGTATAAAATATGATATGGGTCAAGAAAAAAAATTAAGAGGAGAATGACGTATAGAAGATGGTGGGGGGGGAGAGAAGGGGCTCCTTAAAACCATGTGAGTAGATAAATTAAACAAGGAAAAAAGAAATGACAAACAAGAGAAACTGCAAATTAATTGATACTGAGGCTACGTTCAAATTATATAACAACAAATGTGAACAATTATCACATAATCGAAACATAAATTACGGAACGAGAATGTTGCTTAAAACATCGTCGTAGTACACACAGGATCTTGAAATACAAAATATCTAAACTACAACGATAGCGGGAGAATAGAGGTAGTGTATAAAAATACTCAACACCGATCGAATCACCGATAACATAGACTGAAACAACTAAACTGGGTTGTTAATATTTTTTTGAGAACGTACAGTATTTAACATTCACTACGGGTAACACGCCATGTAGAAAAAAATATCATTCCTATTAAATCTCCTGACGCAGAAAACAGCATCGAATAATTCTGCATTCGAAAAAATTTATAGGATGTTTACTATTTTAGATATCCATGATTCATATTTGTTCTCGACAAATTTTGTTATCTGTGGTTTCTAAAGCCATAACTTCTTTTTGAACCCACCAGAAATAATCAAGGTCATTTTGGTGAAAATTATCAAATATTGCCAGTGACTAGCGATTGGATCAATTGCATTAGACAGACTCCTACCAAACATGGGGTGCTCACAGCTTGAGGTCAAAGGTCACAGTGGTCACCTTAGGGTCAAATCCTGAAAAATGACTGGGTTCATGTTCTATTGAACATAGTATCTCTAGTTCTTTCTTTCTTTCTGGCAACATTTTAAAAGGCTACTAGTGGAAAACTACTAGAACGATTTTATTAAAACTTGGTCAGTAGGACCGGTGCCACCTCGAACTTATGTGTTGTTCACAACTTGGGGTCAAAGATCACATAAGGGGCATTGGGGTCAAAAAAGCCAAAAATCGTATGAAAAACTACTTCTCTCACAATAGAGCCCGTAATAAATCTCTGAACCTACGAGGGAAGTAAATAATCATGATGTTTAGAAAACTTAATTGTGTATTCTGTGAGATCATAATTTTAAATTTTCAAAAACATTTTCCCAATGGGACGAAGTCTTTCATAGTAAAATAAAATAATATCAGTCATTTTCTCTAGATTACCGGAATATAATTTCCTAAAACTTTGTGGCTCGGCTTACGCTAATGAGTAGGCAACATTACAGGCTACGCTCACGTCGATGTATTGATCATGTGCATTATTGGTGTTGGTTTTATTGAACGGCTAGACTATGGACTAAATGAATATCAATTAAGCTAGTCGAAAATCACATCGGTCTTTTGCTGACACCAATACAAATGTGTATAAACTAATTGTTTTTTTTCTATTTTATCTAACGTCAGTGTCATATCTCTAATTTTGAATGTGTTTGATGCAAATTGTTTTTTTTTTCTTGTACATATTGACATATGGAATGCAAAAATTGATGTTAATAGGAAAAAGAGTAAAATGCATTATGTACTAATGTACATTGCTTATGATCCTAGATATTTGTAATCAACAACACTTTTGGGGTAGGGGTAGCATCTATGCTCGTAACCAACGGCAGCGAAAGCGGTGGGGGTGGGGGGAGCATATTATTATTATTATTATTATTATTATTATTATTTGGTGCTTTCACACTTTGTTTATTTGCGTCTTATAAATTGACCTATTATTGTCATTATAAAATATAGATTTTCTTTTTATTTTCTAACGAGCATTACAGTTCCCTTTTTTGAGATGAGCAATATGCGCGTCTGTAAAGTTTTCTTGAAACCCACCATCAAGCATGAAGAAAAAATCGCCTGCCTCCGTGAATTCTGTATTTAGGTATATGGGGGAGGTAGGCACTCTTAATGGAGCGACACTCTAGTTCTCTTTATGCTAAGCACAAGATGTATATCAAGTGTAACTAATTGTCTTACAGTAAACCTACAAACTAGCGGAATATAACCACTCCATCTAATTTAACGAAAACAATAAGATAAATTAATTAGGCCAAGTTTTCGTCGAGGAACCCATATGAAGGATAACCCTGATGATAAATAAGTCATTGAGATCATGGAAGCAATCTCGACTTCGACTTTGTTCAGAAATCTGTGGCGTATTCAAGGGCTCGGGTGGGCGGCTAAATTGTTTTTTTAATGGAGATGTAAGGAAAATTATATTCAAATTTTAAGAGTGTAATTTCCCGCCATCTGAAGGTGCCATAATCACAATTTTTTTTTCTTATTTTAGCCCAAACCACGGGCTGAGGTGGTATAGATCCTCCATCTGCTAAGTACCCAGTGCCGAATTCAAGGGGACCCATCCGGCCACCCACCTCTAACTTGTTAAAAAAATGGAGATATATATATAAATAAAATTATTTTCAAATTTTACGTCTGGAAGTACAATTTCCAGCCTTCTCGAGGTGCCATAATCACAAATTTTCTAACCTCAGCCCGAACCATGGTGGGGCTGAGGTAGTATAATCAGGGGTGGCGCCTAGATTTGCCCGACGGGGGTGGGGTGGGGCCCAGCTTCCCGACGGTAGGACCGATGCCCCCGACAACGGGTCAGATTTCCACGAAAGAAAAGTGGACGTGGTCGAGCTTCGATTAAAAGTTTAGAAAGTGGTCCAAGTTGCGAATTAGCCCCCGAAAATGTTGACAATTTAGGGATTACAAAGGCTTATGTAATCGATTTTAGAGTCTACTAATATGTAGAAAATACATATATTGTTTATTTCT